CTGAGTTCAGCAGTCACTTTTCTGTGGGTCCTGCATGTTCAGTTTATACAACAGTCAAGCAGTACAGGCAAGAGCAGTTTCTTGCCCAAATGGCTAATCTTGCCATGTTGAAAGCAAACTCCTTAACAAGTTTCTTCGATGCCCATCTTCCTCTCAGACATAATTGGTGCTGCCAGGAGCAGACATTTCTCATTGTCAAGAAAAACCCTAAACCATTTTAAATGCCATTTTCTGAAGGTCTTTGAGAGGGTTGAAGACTGTTTATGTCAAATATATTTCTGTATATCTAGAAAACCTAACTTACCTAACTATAAGTTCTAACTATTATAAGTAACTATCTATAATCTATATTCAATTATGCATTATGTTGTAAAAGATCAGTATAAGCACAATACTTAATCAAGAGGAGAAATATACACATCACAAAATTGACCTTGAATTTGTATCAATAAATGAAAAACAATACCCATACCATAATTCCCCTTTTTACCATTAAAAAGAGATTGGCTGTGATCATTAACCAATTATAAACAATCCCATTTAAATGAAAACAAAGATTTATAAACAAGATGGGAATTAGGATGTCGCTCATTCCAAACTGCTTCATGCTGGAAGGGGACGCTGTTTATACCATGGGGATCATGACAAAACTCAGAAACCTGTATAAGTCCTTATTTTCGTGGTCTGTAAAGCTCCATCATCTTAGCTGTTTCAGTTGTTGGAACACCTGGTCCACTGCTTCCGGGGGTCTTGGTTCGTGAAGCCATAGAACCCTGGAAGGAATCCTCAGCTTTTCATTTTCTGTGGAAACATAAGTAAAATCTCCTTTTCCAAGTAACATATCCTTATACTTAAATTTTGAAGTCAAGGTATTTTTAAAAGATAAAAGTTGAATTAATTCAGAAGCACTTATAATCAAGTGTACTTTAGCAGTTTTTCCTTCCTGAGCAATCAAAAAACTGAAAAACATAATAGCGTACAATATCCAGACTCTCTGTGTATTTTCCATCTTTACGTGGCTTATTTATTTATCTATTATTACTTTATTTATTTTACTTTTATTTCTTTTTCTCTGAGACAGGGTTTCTCTTTGGAAATCTGCCTGCCTCTGCCTCTGGAGTAAATCCTACCGGCGTGCGCCACCACAACGCCGGCTTTTGTATTTATTTACCACTTTGCCGTTTCATTTTCTCTCTCAATCTCACGTATATTTTTAAACGCACTGTAAACCTTTAGAGGTTTTGTTCATCCAAGTCTGACTTTACTGTAAATCTTTATGTTTTTCTGGCCACGTGTCTTATCTGTAAAACCGCGGCTGTTTTAAACTGTCGTTTCAAGAAGGCGGGCGTAAGCGTGATTCCAGCTTACCGCCTCAGTCCGTGCTGACATCCAGCAAAAGCTGCCACTTCCAGCTGTACGTACACACCTTTCAATCGTTAGCAGAGTCTCTTAAAACAACCTTGTTGTCTCTGTTTTTTTTTTTTTTATGTTGAGTCAAGAAGACTCCAGTAAGCGAACCGCGTGAATCTCGGCTTGTCGCTAGCAAAACAGAGCACACCTGAGAAAAATGCTGCTACCAAAATCTGTGCTTCTCTCTGTTCTTCTGTTTCTAAAATTCCTTTAAAGCTTTTGTTATTTTGCGTGGAAATTCATGATCCCACTCCTGACACCATTTTGTTATGAGAAGCTTTTCTTGAGAGGAGCCTTCTTGCCCGCCTGGTTCCAGATCCGCATCAGTCCCAAATAAACACACAGGAGGCTATATTAATTATGAAGCTGTTGGCCTTGCTTGTTTCTTACTAGCTAGCTCTGACTTAAGTAATTACCCCATAATTGTTTCTTACCGGAGAATAGTTCCAGGCTTCCTACCCCCATGGCGTTACATGTTGACTCTCTTGTGTTTCTCCTTCCCAGAATCCTCCTGGACTCCTAGCCCCACCTATCTAGATTCCTATAGGCTCAACAGTACTTTATTGACAAATAACAGGCAAATAACAGGACTTCCCCAACACAAGGCAGCTGTGGAACCGGGCGGGAAATCCCGTAATGTGTGTGCAAAAGAGATGTGCCAGAGGACAAAGAAGTAGAAATGAAAACAAGGCAGAGATCATGTAGACAGCAAGAAGCCTCCTTGCTAAGCTGATTTCACCATGGTATAAAGGAGGTGACATTTCACTATCACCCATGTCACCTACAGGGGTGTTCCAGTAATGAAGGAGGTTCTGGACCTGCTACAGTCCTCCTTCCAGGATGTTTGCGTGACTCCACCAATGCTGTGTGCATAAAGGCTAGTTTAGCTATCTGCTCCTTGTTTTTAATTTTAAGTCTGTGCCTGTGTGGGAGAAAAATAAATGATAGGAGGATGAGAACTTTGAAATCCTGAATCTTTTCGAGATATAAATGATGACCTCTGCTACTTCTTATTGGCCATTCACTAGAACCAAAAATGGAAAAATAAACCAGCAACAGAACACATATTCCAGGAGACGAGAAGCAGGTTTGTGAAGAAACTGCCTCCAGCAAGTTTAAAGCTAATATTGTGTATAGAGGGGATTCATCCTCTTCTTCCTACCCTCGCCTAAGAATTTAGGGAAGGTCCTGCTCAAAGAGACCTGCTCAAAGCATGGTTTGAAGGTACAGGATCTTCCCTGGCGGTTTGGTGTCAAAACCCTCTTGGAGCCAAGGAGATAGCTGGCATTCTGAGTTCAATCCTTGGAACCTACATGGTACACGGAGAGAACCGAGTCCAGCACGCTGTTCTCTGACCTCCACATGCACACTGTGTAGACACAGCAAACAAATGTAAGCTAGTTTTCAAAGCCTTTGTACAGCAGTAGCTATAAACCACCGGATGTGGAGCAAAATAAATTGATTTCGGGCTTCCTCCCACTAATCTCAATACCCGTCAAAGAAAACAGCCCGTGGACTAGTCTATGTTTTTATATATTCCATGTTTTCCCCTGCACATTCATGCCTGTGGTAAAATTCAGTATATTAATTATGCACACTAGTGGACTGGCAATAATTAATGCCAAAATTGAATGATTATACCAATCTTACTATGAGCTATATGACTCTTCGTCAAAACTCTTTCACAGTCAACATTTCCAAGTCATCTCTTTAAAAGTCATTCGCTTCCTGCTCCCATTAAGAAATTCTCCTGTTGGCTGTGTGGAAAGTCAGTGAGGAGGCCTAGGTAATCTATGGGGCCTTGGGTAGTATTTATCCCTGGCGTACAAATAGACTTTGAGTGCCCATGCCACAATATGGGAGGCTCTCTCAGATGGGACTCTTGGGGGAGGGCCTAGGCCCTGCCCTGGATGAAATGACAGTTACCTCACCTTCCTTGGGGATAGGAGTGGAGATTGGGTGGGGGACTGGGGAACCTGGTGGGGAGGGCGGGGCAGAAGGGGACGGAGAGGGAGCTGGGATTGACATGTGAAACAAGATTGTTTCTAACCTAAACAAATAAAATAATTTGTTAAAAAGAAATTATCCTGTTGTTTTTATAACAAAATTTATCAACCAGCGGGAGTCATCAATTCAGTCATCAGAAACAGGTAATACATGCCTCACGAGGAAAAGCAGACTGGCCTCTAGCCTGCACCAATCTTCTGTTTCCTTGGTTTGGAAGTGGCTGTGCTTTTTAGCAGGGCTTGTCAGCTTGTAATTTTCCACCTCAAGAATTAAGAATGTCCACAGAAGAACTTCTTGGGTATTGCTATGCAGGCATACTAACTTAGAAGTCTATTGAGTTACTTTACCTGTAATGATACCTTATCTGAGAAAAAAAAAAAAACCACCGCTTTATGCTTTATACCAGGAAAAAAAAAAGCAGGAGACCAATTTATTTTTAGAGGTGATCTCAGGCCTGTGTCATTGAGCCTGGCTTGTGCCGTGGTCTGTGTCGAACCCAGACTATCGCCTTTCCCCTTGGTTACCCACTGTAATGACATGTAATTACCCTGTGGCTGAAGACACTACAAAATTTAGTTACAGGACATAGAGAAATCAAACTCAATCAGGAATCTTCTTCCCTGATGCCTAGCTTTTATCATACGGGAAGATGCTTTCCAGGCTGCTGCGGAAGAAGAGGCATCAATGGTCCTCTTGAGCACTGGCCCTATGTGCTGCGATACTGACCTGTCAAGCAAGGTGCGCCCTGTTAATGGGATAACTAAGCACTTTCTGTCTGAATTTGAGGTCTGTTCCACATGAAGGACTCTCATGCCTAGTATTATAATCCTGGCCAAAATCCCATGGCGGAGAAGGTCATGGACCCTAGGGTGGAAACTGCTATTGTGATTTTGCTGAAGTGCCTTCTAAATATTTATGTTTGTGCCCATAGACCTGGACCATGTTCAGCCTTGGTCAGAAGAGCCTCTTTCTGCAGTGGGCAGTAGTCGACAAAGAGAGGCAGTACTGATTGAAATGTTAAAGAGACATAACACACAGCTTTAAGTGGGACATCTATATTATTAACTCTGCCACAAAATTCAAGGAACATTGCAAAAGACTGAAAGAATTTCAGAGGCATCAGATGGAGAGGAGTGGTACAGCATGCCATCCTCTGGATATGGTCTGGGTATCACACTCATAACCCCACAGCAGTTACAGTTACCTGCACAAGAGCAAGCCAACCAAATCCTGTCTTATGTGGGATAGACACTTCTAGGCCCTACTCCTTACTAGGGAGCTATTGGCAGCAGTAATTGCTGGGGAAGGGAGAAATATTCTGTTTTGAGGATGTGGGCAATGGTAGGATTTCCATGCTCCACTGGCTGCCCCTACACCCAAGCACATATGGGCAGCACCAATTGGACTCGGTGGGTTAGCAAAAAGGTTAATGAAAAGGATAGCTACTGGGTTATCAATGTGTCAATCAGTATGGGACTGAACTCTTCCCTTGAAGTTATTTCAGATTACTTGTCACAGCATTGGGATGCTAGACTAGTGCACATCATATTCCCATGTGAACTCAAGTTCAAACAAATACTTACCTTTGCTGCAGAGGCACAGCATCCTCTGTCACAGCTGACTCGGCTTTTAGACTTAACACTCTGCAGTTATACTTCTGCTCAGTCTTCAATGGCCTCTCAGCATATATTCATTGATTTATCATCATCCCTAAAAATATACATTCAATCATCTATTTCACGTCAATGACAAAGCTAAGAGTCTTGTTTACTCAATATTTCTATAAGGCTATTTGTTCCCAGTTAACTAGACTTTGTTAACTACCATGTTTCCTGTGACTTTCCAGTTGTTTTCATGGTCTCATGGATTCCAGGATGGCCTTGAACTCCTATTGTAACTGAACCTGGCTTTGAAATCCTGGCATTCCTGCCTCAACCTTCCAAATGCTAGAATTACTGGCACCTGCCACTACATTCTGCCTTTACCTTGTTCAATTTTTAAAAGAGAAATATACAAACTCTATTGCACGGAAATACCAGTATTTATCATTTCTAACTGAGCTTCAACTTTATTTCGGTATCACCTTTCAGAAGCAATAGAAATAGCTGAAGATGAATCTTTACATAACTAAGCAAAGATTTGATGCTATAGTCACATGGTGGGAAGAGTCTATAATACACAGACCTACTTGTGGCAAACCAAAGAATTCATTTTTTGTCTTAGGAAAATCATATTAAAATGAAAAATGTCAATGAGTGTGGTGCTGCAGAATTGAGAAATTGAGGCAGGAGGATTATATATTTGAAGCCAGCATAGGTTACATAACTAAACTCTGCTTCAAAAATGAATGTTGTTCACATCATCTACAAAGGCATAAAAGTATTTAAAGTATTTTGTCAGCTGAGCCCACTGGTTCTCACACTATATTCACAAAAAAGATCTTTTTTCATTGTCAGTTCACATGCTATCTAATGGCCTGACATCAATCTTAGTGGAATGAACTAGAATAAACGTTTAAATTTCAAACTTCCTGCTGCAGTGACCGTAAATGGCGGCCCATGTAAAACGTAGACATTGAATCTATCACTCCACGCATTTGCTTAGTTGCCTTCCTGTAACTGATCACTAATCCATGTACATTTTGTGTGTATCTTCTTTGTCAGAATAGCACAGCATGGGCATTAATTATCCTGTGATTGTATTGTTACCACTCTTTTTTTTCTTAACTAGGATACAGCTTTCCTAAAGATGTGGTACAAGCCCTCACATTGTGTTCTGTATCCATTCACTAACCACCATAGTTGTCCATCACAAGTAACGGTTGTCATTATTACAGAGTGGCTCAACCCCTGCTGACTCTGCTATGAAAGTTCTGCACCTGTAACCTGCTTAAAACACTCTGTCTCTGTGAGAAATCTCCCTGTTCCAGGTGGGGGGAAGAAATATCAAATAGACTCAAGTGAATATTTCATCCAAATGAAAAGTCAGACTTAGTGGTTTTGAGGTGTTGAGTCAAGTGTGTCTGCCTGGGTCTTCTGACTCTTTTCTTCAGTTCTTCATAGTTGACTCCATTCTTGCTGCAGGGGGTTCCCAAAGCTTCCAGGTGGGTGCCGCCATGCTATAAACACAAAACCAGATGAATTGTCCAAGAAAAGCACAAAGTCTTTAGCTGAGCTTCCTTGGTTAACTTGGCCAAGGTGGCAAACGCTGGTGACTTAGCCGGTCTTAAGTAAAAGCTCCCATTCTAGAGACCACAAAGCAAAGTTAGCTGCAACTCGAAGTGTGAGAGCTAAGAAGGAAGGCAGATAGATCTCCAGGCACAAATCACATCAAGGGGATCATGGACACCGAAGGGCAGAGCCAACACCCATCTGACGAGGTGACAGGGAAACAGTACTGCAAGGGATGTGAGACCCAAAAGTTCAGCCTGAGAGTTTACCAGTCTCCTATTACAGCTGAAGCTTCACCTTGTGTGTCTGCATCTAAATTGCCAACTTGGTTCCAAAAGGCATGGGTTTGGTAAAGTCATTCCTCCTTCCTTAAGTCTCAAAAAACACCACAGTTAGGTATACAAATCAACATGAGATTTCCCTCCTGTCCATACAAAATCCAAAAGTCCAGGGCACTTGGCTGTTTAGCTGAGTTGCCCTCTCCCTACATTGGGAGAGCATCTTTGCTTTATCTTCAATAAACACCTCTATTTAAGTTTCCTCTTTATTCTTCTCTGACATCTTTTCCTAAGTAGGCTGAGAATCCATGATCCTCTGAGGCTAGTGACAAAGCTCTTGGTAGTATTGCATCAACTTTGGTGTTTGAGGGAATCTGATACCATTTTTCTTGCAGAAAGTTGGCTGGAATAGTAGTCCAGGCCCTTGTGCATGGATGCCATGACATTGCCCAGTGATAAATTCACCCTACAAGAACATCTAACAAGATCCCAATCTATTCAGATGAAAGGAATTACCAAATCTGTCACACATTGGGATGACACGGACATGCTAACAGTGTAACTATACTTAACAAAAGGAGCATGTTATCAAGAGTTTATCGTGCCTTTTATTTCATTACATTTTTAATATTGTGACAAATGCAATGTCACAATACCTCCTACTGATTTATAAAGACTATTTTTCTTTCATGAGTTATCTTCACTTCGCAACAGGAATTCAAAATATTCCCTTGACTTAACATTTCTCAAGTCGTGATTTTAGCTACTTTTGCCCCCTTTGGACATGGCACTAATGGTGCCTGTGGCGCCAACAGCTTCTGAGGCACTGGGAACATGTTACAAGTCTGTTGCTAATGTCCTCTGGTTCCTTCTCACCATTAAGCTCTGGTCCTTTTAGCACTTTCAAAGTCGAGCAGGCACGTTCAATTGCACCACTGACTTTTTATCTGGAAACCACTTGAGAAACGTATTACAGACCCCACTATCATTTTCTCCCCCACTTGCTTCCCTTTAAATATGTTACTAAAAATATTTTTTCCAGAAATATATCTGGATTTCTTTAACTTTAAAACAATATACTTACATATTATGGAATACTTTTAAACAATACTAAGGATTTTTGCAGCAGGGTTAGGCTTGGCTTTGTTTCTATTTCTTCTACATTTACTCCAGTTCAGGAAGTTAACATTTTTCCTATTTGGGGTTTTCATTGTTCATTTTCCTCTTAAGGTGTATGCTCAGTACTTTCTTATAGATAATTAATGAAAATAACTCTTCGAAAGCATAAAATAAATGCTTACATCTACTATTTTGATATCTTTTGTTGTTTTTATCTGCATACAAACTAAAAATACAGCCAAAAATCAAATATTTCTAATCTTGCTACTATTTCAAATTTACATTTACCTACTCGGTGAGTCCCAAAATTTAGAATGCTGTATATTTTTGTCTGTTTGTTTTAATTAAATTTACTTTAGTTGTCTCCATTGCAAGTAAGAGACAGAGGAGAAATACATGAAGAAAAAAATCACAGGCATTTTTTATTCCAGCTCATGGGGGTAAAAAACTAATAAGCCACCTCCACAGTGAATTTCTAGTGAGGCATTAACTAGGGATTTGTTGCCTTGGTTACTGAGCCAGGTAGAGATTCCAGTAGAAAACCAATGTGACCTATGAGCTCAGGAAACCAAAGAAGCAAAATTTCTGCATGATAATATTTGCAGTTACTACAAAAAGAAATGAAAGGGGAAAAACTGTAGGCTGAGATACAGGGTGAAAGAAGGAACTAGATATTTGACTCAGTGCTGCAGACATTTACGTATGTACAATTTTTAATAACAGCGCTGTGGTGTTTTCTCACTGGTGAAATATTATAAGGCACAGATCATTCCCAATATGTGAGGCAGCTTCCCACCCTAGAAAACAAAGCATTCCATTTCTCGATGGCAAATGGGCCTTCTGATGGCAGAGAGGCTGATGGAAACACACACACACAGATACACACACACACACACACACACACACATACACACACACACACACACACACACACACGATGGCCACTCAGAAAGCAAAATATCCAAATAGATTTCCTCAGTTACTTTTTATTATACTACATCAAAAATAAAAAGCATGTGGATATCAGTAGCAGATCTAGAACCAACAGCAGAAACAAAGTGTACACTGTGAAAGGGTGGCTACCTGCATCATCTTCATCTTGGGTTGGAACTGCCCTTATTGCTCAATGCAGGATCAAGCAAGATATCAGCAGCCAAGAAACCAACCACCAGTGATGCCACAAATTACTGCTTCATGTAACTCTTCTCCTGGTCCCCTAGAAAAACTTGACTAAGTATCCAAGGCTGACTTTTCCTCTAATGTTTTCATCACTATTCAAAGCTGTCCAAGGATTTACCCAAAAACCAAGAGCCACTGATAGAAAGTAAAATGCTGACAAAGTCACTAATGGCTGTTGGATAAGAAAGGGTATTTAATAAATAAGATGCTTTAATCACACCAAAGACAGTGGCAACCAGATTAGGTAGGGGCCTTTTGGTCGGTTATGGTGGCCCACGCTGGTAGGATTTGCTCAAGGAGACAGAGGCAAGAGGACACAAGTACAAGTCCTAACTTAAGGAAGAATGGGCAGAGGTAGAGAGGATGGGGCGGGCTTACCAGACATGGCAGTGGTGAACGGAAGAATCCAGAGATCCTTAGTTGGAAAAGTGACCGAGTTGAAGGTTACAGGGTCCCGGCATATCTCAAGACTGCCACAGGATGGAGCACAGTACTACCTGCAGGACCAAGGACATGTACTCTAGTAAAAGGGAGAAGACAGGAAATGGGTATATGGCTCAGTCACAAGCATGCACAAGCATGAGAACCAAGTCCACACAAAACCAAACCTGGGTGCCAGGGCTGGAAAGACGGCTCAGCAGTTAAGAGTCTGGTGCTTGGTGTTTATGCAGAGGACCTGGATTTGGTTCCCAGTAGCTACATGGGGGCTCACAACCATCCACAGGCACACATATGGTTCACGTACACATATGTAAGCCAAACACTCATATCCATCAAATGAGATTAAATAAATCTAGAAAGGTTTTTAAGCTAGATGTGGTAATGCATTCCCATAACCCCCAAGAGTGGGGAAGCAGAGACAGGACGATCCCCCGAGGTGCTAGCTGGCCAGCCAGTCTCTGAATCAGGTGAGCTCCAGCTTCAGTGAGAGACCCTGTCTCAAAAACTAAGATAGAGAGTAACTGAGAAATGCATCAAACATTGATCTATGGCCTACACACACACACACACACACACACACACACACACACACACACACACACACACACACCAAACAAGAAAACCCTACCAAAACCTTGCTTAGGAATAACTGTACCTTCTTCGGAAGATAAACTATAGTTAAAATCAACAAGGTGGCACACACACAGTCTTCCCTTGATACAAGCACCTCCCACCCTTGTTTCCAACTGGACCTCACTGACCTCTATTTTACATAGTGGGTCAAATTCATGAAATGTTTACCCTTGTGACTCTGAAATGTAGCACAGTTTTCCATATGTGGGCTCAGCACATGAATCAAGCTGGGAGCCCCTAAAGCTCATTCCCTGTTTAGTTGGTACCCAAGCTTGAATGTAGCAGGTGAGCTGCATGCTACATCTTCCACCCTCAGACACTACACATTTGGGCTCAAATTTTATGATGGGGGATGCCCTTCTGTATATATGCATCTCTTATTGGTTGATGAATAAAACAATGATTGCCCAGTAGCTAGACAGGAAGTATAGGCGGGGCTATGAGATGAGAAGAATTCTGGGGAGAGGAGGCAGAAAGAGGTCTCAAAAGAGACTCCATGTAGCCTCTGAAGGAGTAACACGCTGGAGCCTTCTCCAGTAAGATAAGGCCACATGGAAATACATAGACTAATAGTTATAAGATAATAATTAAGAGAAATCTAGCCAGTAAGAAGCCTGAGCCATCAGCCAAACAGCTTATAATTAATAAAAGTTTCTGTGTGTTTATTTGGGACTAAACAGCTGCAGGACAGGCAGAACAGGAACCTCTGTCCACAATTTTATTTCAGTCACAAATGACCCTGGAATTACAATCTTCCAACCATTCCCTTCCCTGTAATTGCACTGTGTTTGCCCAGTACTAATTTAATTTGGGAAATGCACAAAGTCCTGGACCAAGCAAGGCACTAGACTAAGAGACTCAATGAGTGTTCACATTCAACAGAAGGGACTAAGATTTGTTTAATTCGTTTTCCTGTGGAAGTGATGGGCTTTGGCCTTTATTTCATGCCAAGGTTCTGAGACATTTACTACCTGATATTTATTTATCCTTTATCTTTGGGAGACAGCCAAATCCTAAGATATTTAAATGTATTTTCCAGATTATCCAGATTCACTTTTAATAAAAAATTATCTTAGGGGTTGTGATAACAAAATGGCAAAGATATCCCTGGGACCCTTACCTTACCTGCTTAGTGGAAACTTTCTTTTTCTTACTTACTCCATGAATGGAAAGGACATTATGTTCAATTCACAAGAAGTGATTTTTCTTAAATGTTATCAAATAAGAGTCAAGACAGTGTAATTAATACTCTTATCTGGAGGGTCCTCTGCAAAGAACATTTTTATTCTATGATCCCCATTGTCTTAGTTAGGGTTTCTATTGCTGTAAACAGATACCATGATACCCTTATGAGAGATACTCTTATAAAGGAAAATGTTTAATTGGGTGGCTTACAGTTCAGAGGTTCAATCCATTATCATCATGGGGGGACATGGTGGCAAGCAAGCAGACATGCAGCTGAAGAGGTAACTGAGAGTTCTAAATCTTGCACAGGCAACAGGAAGTGAACTGAGATGCTGGGCATGGCTTGAGCATATATGAGACCTCAGAGCCTGCCTCCACAGTGACACACTTCCTCCCACAAGACCATACCACCACTCCCTTTGGCAGCCATTTTCTTTCAAATACCCATACCCATGTTTTCATGAAGAAGTCTATTACATGGATTTGGATCTTTGGCCTATTCGACATCAAACACTGATGTCAATATAACAAGTATTTGACATGATTCCAGGTTTATAATTTCTCAAAAAGACAAATACACAGACATGTCAGTATCACTTCTGGTCTCTCTAGAAAGCCAGTGGAAGGCATGGTAAAGATCTGAGGATGGGGGGCACACAATCCCAGGGAGTAAGAAGGAACTCTGTGAGAGAAGGACTGTGGGAAGCAATGCAGAGCGATAAGTTATTGAGCAGCAACTCTTTGCATGATCCTTAAAGAAACAGCTCAAGGGTGGGGCCTTCCTTAGCTGCTTGGATGTCTCCAGACACTCTGCACAGAAACTGTGCAGAAAGAAGGAGGGAGAGGCCATCTTTCTCCCACGGCTTCCTCCAGTCTCCTGTTCCCTTCCCTTGACCATGGCCCCATTGTGTTCTGATTCCACAGCCTGAGAATTTATTTACACCATCAAGCATCCAGGCTTGCAGCTGGTGACCTAGCAGGAGTAAGAGCTGAAGCTGAGCTGAGAAGTGAAGCAAGCTAGCCTGAAGACTGAGCAGGCAGAGTCAGAAGAAAAATATTAGCATGACCCTGACAAAGAGCCATGAGCAAAACTGACCAATGAACGAGAAGGCAAAGTGATAACATTAGTGATGAGGCTCTTTTTTAGTGAAAGATTATGTGCATATTATATACATAATAAAAGCCAAAGTGGGGCCTGCTATATCTTGGAATGCCCATTCTCCAATCTATGCCCTAAACCTGAAGTAATGAATGAGTTGCCTGGTTCTCTAACAGGAATGCTCATGTAGGACCAGGAGCCTTGATGAAGAATATAAGCCCATTGACTGAAAAGTTCAAACATGGCAGAAACTTAGAGTCAGTGTCCCAATCAGAAAGGAAAAGGATAGGTAGCCCTCTTTCTTTGCTGTGTCTTTCAAGAACTGTTACTTCTTTCCTGGATACATTCTCTCAGAAGAGCAGTGGTTAGTTAAAGTCAAATATGGGGTGATTGCCAGCCTAAGGGTTTTGTGATTTGCTATTCTGTGATCTCATGTGGGAGGTGAGAGATTTGTAGATGACAGAAAGAAGCAGAGAACCTATGACTCAATGTAACCAACAGTTTCAAAATTTAGGTATTACAAATGGACTGCTGGCAATGACTTCACATGTGGGTCCATTATGTCATTCTCTCACTCTTTGTGGTGGTTGGAATAGGAATGGCAGTCATGGACTCATGTGTTTGAATGCTTGGTCCATAGGAAATGGCACTATTAGGAGGTGTTGCCTTGTTGGAGCAGGTAACGACTGTGGAGGTGGGCTTTGAGTTCTGATAGGCTCAAGCTATGCACAGTGTGATATTTTCCTTCTGCTGCCTGCAGATCAAGGTGTAGAACTCTCAGCTCTTTCTCCAGCACCATGTCTTCCTGCACACTGCCATGTCCCTCCATGATGACAATAGACTAAGCCTCTGATACTGTAAGCCAGCCCCAATTAGATGTTTTCCTTTGTAAAAATTGTTGTGGTTCTTCACAGCAATAGAAAACCCTAACTAAGACCCTCCCTGTTCACTAAATTTTAGATATGTCAGCAAAGAGTTGAAGCAGCAATGTCAGTTTCATGAACTCTGAGAAAATGATTTCACTCAACACCTGGCTTCTCCATGGACAATGGCTCTCTTTTCAAGAAGTTTCTATGTCTTGGCATCAGCTCCTTGGCAGCTTGTACGCACACTTCCTAGGCACCAATGTGCTTTGCTTTGTTTTAATCATTGTAAGTAATTCTGGAAAAGTCAATTACATCCTTTGCAGAACTCTGTGGGAACACCAGACCTTGAGCAGAGACCCACTTCCCCTTCTGCCTGGGAGTAGGCAGCTGTAGACAATGTTTAGTAAAAACATGTTTACTAAAAACGATACAATAAGTTCCTGGAAAAGGCCTTCCCACAGAAACCGCCCTGACCTCGACCTTGTCTAAAGACTAACCGCACCTTCAAAAACCCACACACATCCACCTCTGGGGTCAGAGCAGAACCAGCCAGGGTAGAGGAGAGAGCAGAAGCTTCTCTGGTGGGAGCTTTTCTTAGGAGGTTTTCTTGAACCTTTTTTGGAGCCTGCTTAAAGTTTTCTTTATATCGTTGAACGAGTCTCTGTGTTGTCAATCCCCGACACCCTCCGCACGTTCTCGGACACAGGCTGAGAAGCAGACGCGACAATTGGAGGTCCCACTGAGATCGTGAAAGCGAGGTAAGTGGACAGGGTTAAGAAACTATGGGGAATAGTTCTGGGAAGCTAGAATCATTACAGTATCAACTAAAAAAGTTACTTAAAGAACATGGGACTGCAATCAAGTCTAAAACCCTAGAAGGCTTTCTAAAATCCATCGAACGAGCCAGTCCATGCTTCATTACTGGGGGAAGCTTAAATATTCCAGATTGGGAGGAGGTTCGCCATGATCTTCATAGACTTTTACAAAAAGAGGGATCTGAGTCCTTGCCCCCTACGACATTCTCTTTATGGAGATTAGTGAGGGGAGCACTTTTGACAGATAAGGTTCGTCACCGCCAGGTAGTTCAGGACACAAAAGAGGCTTTTTTAGAGTTACAAGAGACTGAGACTCAAGCCTCCTTGAGTTCAGGGGAAGAGAGTGACGAAGAGACCGTGACTGAAACTAGAGGCTCTATTGTTAGTGAGGATGAGGGGGAGTCTCTTAGTAACAACAAAAAAATGGGTAGAGATCTCCGGGCACGACCCAAAAAAGA